CCCTCCCCTCGCCCTGCCTTTCTTATCTATCCCCCTTATGTCCGCCCCCCTCCCCCGACCCTCGCTGTCCTCGCAGATCACTCTCCTCTATGGCACCAGCATCCCACCCGCGTCACGTCCTCCTTCCTCTCTCGACTTTCTCATCTCTCCGACTCCTCGTGCTCCGGATAAGTCATTAATTACCGCCGCGGTGTGACGCGGCGACGTCTTATCGGAAAAGACATCTGCTGGAAAATAATATTCATAAAGTTTATCCCCAGCAGCGTCATTACGGCTCCCCCAGCCTCATGGACCGTTTACAGCCCATTCGTGGTCATAGTCGACATTTTCTTTTTTCCCCTCCTTTTTTTTTTCAAATCCCTCTTCCTTTCCTTCTTCATCCACACGTATACACGTATCACGACGTAACACGATTTTTAACCTTTGACCCCCGTCGTAACGCTCTACGGGACTGATTTTCGAGGATCGATCCGACTTGGAAATTGCCTGAAGCCTAGGGCTATATATATATGTATACTTGTACCGATTCTGAGCCAAGAAACCCTAGCGGGTGTCTCAGGCGAAACAGTTAGAGTTACCAATGGATCTCGAGGCGTTTAAAACGCGTCACTGTCGCGTCGCAGCTATTTGCTGCAACGCTAATTGCGTTCAAACGAACTGTCGGCGCGGCTGCCCGGCCGTGTGTACCCAGCAAGCACGTGGGTGCGTAGGTGCGTGCGTGGCGTCCCGGCTAAATATATATGGCCGGGTTCGGGCTTATACTTGGCTATGGCAAATACGTGCGTGTCCACGTTATGATTAATACCACGTGTATAGCGGGCGCGGCGATTCAACTTGTCAGCAGTTACGAGATCTGGTAATTAGCATCGTGCGAGAGAACTTCTCGTTCCCATTGGCCCTCGAAACCAGCATCGGATAGGATTGATAGGAATGATAGAAGAGATAACAGAGATAAACCCTATTCACGTTATTTTCTTTGATACGCGTCCAGCTAATCTTCACTTTCATTTTTGTACACCCATTGTTCCTCAGCTGATTTTTATTACATATTTTTGCACATGCCTGTACCCTTATTTTCTCACCCCCTCTCCCCGTCCGAAAGGGCCTTGCGAAAAATACCGCGAATCTGAGAGGCCGTTTGCATATAATAATGTAATAATAATAATATAATTTAAGAAACGATCGATCAGCCATTCGCGATTATACCGAATTCTCCACGTGATCCAATAATTAGAGTTAAATTTTTTGTACGCAAGTCCCAAGGCGATTGGGCCTCAGCTTCGACTTCGCGTGATCGGCTTGGGAAACGAATCGGATGGATGCAGGTAAATGAGGCCCCGATCTAGACAAAAAGAGTTTATCGTGAGATAGTGGGTCTTTTTCAATGATTTCACCAAAAAGTAATCATCGTTATCTGATCATAGGAATTTCGGGATCGATCTCTTAATAGTCATTACTAAATTGAGGGGAGGTTTCGATTTTGCCGATTTCGCCGTGTCCGTGTGGTTGAGTCGACTCCCGATTTCTCGCCACCCGATATCACAACCCCACGTTGGCAAACAGGGAGAAGAGAGTCGGTAACGACGAACCTCGTCAACGTAGAATTAACTGTCTACCGGGTGGGTGGGGTTTGGTTCGTCGAGGAACGACCCGGCCTCAGTGACAAATCTTTGAGCTCGTCGCATCGCGCGCCCAGGGGGTCGCTGTCTGCAGATTAATGTTCATAGCTAATGAAAAGTGATATAAAACTCGGGGACCGGTGTATCCCAGCAGCCGGGTAGAGCACAGCGTATAGCGAGCCGAGGCGGCGTTAACGCACTTGTTACATAAACGGTAAATCTTTAAACTCGTAAACTTGTCCGGTTCTGCGCAAGTCCAACGAGCGGCTCCCGGAGGTCCTCGGACTCGAATCCGGAATACGGACTCTGCGAGACGCGTCACTGTTCCCAGTGAATAATCATTTTGTTACCGTGCCATACAAGCGTGTACAGTGACGTCGGCGACCCACCATTGGCTCCCGTCCAGGCACCAGGAACATCCCCTTTAAAGAAGCAGCTACTAACGAGCACATGATTGTAGTTTTAAAACGTGTGAAGTAAGCAAAGGAGCTTGGTAGGAGGTGAGGAGGTGAGGAGGGGCGGTGGGGCGGAGGACCGGCACGTTGAGGATCCGCGGGTAAACAGACTCGAGCGGGTGTATAAATTGCGTGAAAGATGGGCGTGTTGTGCCAGGGTGCATTATTAGAGGACGTCAGTCAGTAACGAAGCGGCGAGCAAACTCAGGCACGCGACAAAGCAGCCCGACAAGAAGGAGCCGTCGGCGTCGCGGCGAGGTGACAAAATGGTGATTAATTAAAAACATAATTAGTCGAGCGATGTATCCCGGCAGCGGGCAAGAAGCCCGCGACTCTGCCCGTCCGCAGTCCGAGTCTTCTTCGTATGGATGAAGTGTCGGAAGGTGGTGGAACAGTCGAGCTAAACGAAGAGCCCAGCCCAAACAGAGGCCCCTCCTACGCGTCCCTAATGTACCGTGAAATTGTCATCCGACGGTCTGGTTTTTCATCTCATTAAGGGAGCCACTTCTCGGAGCCTCCCAGCATCCAACACGCTATTTTCGATGGACGCGCCGATACGCCGGAAACTGGTAACGAACCGAACGCCCTGGCCGAGGATGCCGAGAACCGGGAGCAGGCCAGCTGGGAAAGTGCCAAGATGCCAAGATCCCAAGATCCCAAGAGCACAGGGAAAGCGGCCTCGTGCCAATGGACGCCGAGCAGTTCGATCCGACGCGATGGATCGGAAGACGGAGGACGGGAGGACGCCGGCTCGGGAAGCCGAAGAGACGTCGCGACGAACGCAGCTACGCGTCTTGGACAGAATTTAATTACGAGCTCGCGGCGGCCGCTCTAAAT